GGTGGTGGGTCAGGCACCATGGTGGAGGGTCAGGCACCATGGTGGTGGGTCAGGCACCACGGTGGAGGGTCTGGCACCATGGTGGTGGGTCAGGCACCACGGTGGAGGACGGCGGGTCTGGAGCTCATAGCGGAATGGTGTGTGTTCCATCTGCCTATTGGTTCTCGCTTAGCGTCGTGTGTGTGTATCTGGAGTGGCGGTACAGCGCCAGCCTCCCTGCTCGGAAGGCCGGGGTTTCGATCCCCGATATTCCAAGTAGTTGGGTCTTTCTCTGTCTTTCTGTCTGTCTGTCTGTCTGTCTGTCTGTCTGTCTGTCTGTCTGTCTGTCTGTCTGTCTGTCTGTCTGTCTGTCTGTCTGTCTGTCTGTCTGTCTCTCTCTCTCTCTCTCTCTCTCTCTCTCTCTCTCTCTCTCTCTCTCTCTCTCTCTCTCTCTCTCTCTCTCTCTCTCTCTCTCTCTCTCTCTCTCTCTCTCTCTCTCTCTCTAATTATTAAACAGTTAATGAGCTCCGAAGCACCAGGAGGCTGTTTATAACAATAACAACAGTCGATTGGCAAGTTTTCATGCTTGTAAACTGTTTAATAAATGTAACCAAAGCCGTCAAAGACTGAGGAAAGATGTACACACGTTCGTAAGTTGCTTGCGTAACTGCTTCGTGAATCTGGCCCCCCTGGGTACTTGGGAATAATTACAGATCTAATTAATATACTTGTGGTATTTAGTTAGTGTTAGTTAAATTGTCGTCGCGAACTCCGTAGACTTTCACGATGAGAAATTAAATTTGACGGTTGTACTCCCCTAGTTGTGCTTACGGGAGGGTTGAGCTCTGGCTCTTTGGTCCCGCCTCTCAATCCGTGTACACCCGGTTGGTGTATTTACTATTTGTGTCTGCAGTATGGGACTCTAGCTCCTGGACCCCGGCTTTCTAACCGTCTTTTGTTTAATGTGCTGACTCCGGACCTGTACACCAGTTGGTTGACAGTTGAGAGGCGGGACCAAAGAGCCAGAGCTCAACCCTCCGGCAAGCACAACTAGGTGAGTACACACACACACACACACACACACACATAGCTGAGTGGACAGCGCTCTGGGATCGTAATCTTTTGGGCTCGGGTTCAATTCCTGGTCGAGACAAAAACAAATGGGGAAATCTCCTATCGCCTGATGCTTCTTTTCACCTAGCGGACCTTTCACCCAGGGGACCTACCCTGGGTGTACCAGGGGGGGGGGAACTACCCTTTGTGTACCAGGGGGGGACCTACCCTGGGTGTACCAGGGGGGGGAACTACCCTTTGTGTACCAGGGGGGGACCTACCCTGGGTGTACCAGGGGGGGGAACTACCCTTTGTGTACCAGGGGGGGACCTACCCTGGGTGTACCAGGGGGGGGAACTACCCTTTGTGTACCAGGGGGGGACCTACCCTGGGTGTACCAGGGGGGGGAACTACCCTTTGTGTACCAGGGGGGGGACCTACCCTGGGTGTACCAGGGGGACCTACCCTGGGTGTACCAGGGGGGGGAACTACCCTGGGTGTACCAGGGGGGGACCTACCCTGGGTGTACCAGGGGGGGGACCTACCCTGGGTGTACCAGGGGGGGACCTACCCTGGGTGTACCAGGGGGGGGGGAACTACCCTTTGTGTACCAGGGGGGGACCTACCCTGGGTGTACCAGGGGGGGGGAAACTACCCTTTGTGTACCAGGGGGGGACCTACCCTGGGTGTACCAGGGGGGGGGGAACTACCCTGGGTGTACCAGGGGGGGAACTACCCTGGGTGTACCAGGAGGGGAACTACCCTGGGTGTACCAGGGGGGGGGAACTACCCTGGGTGTACCAGGGGGGGAACTACCCTGGGTGTACCAGGGGGACCTACCCTGGGTGTACCAGGGGGGGGGGACGTACCCAAGGATCAATAGCTAACTTTACAAATCCTTTTCCAGTTTCAGTAAAGACTATTAAAGTTACATTCAGACTTTCCTCCCAAGTCTCAACCCTCTCCCTCGCCTCTAAGTCCTTCCACTTGATCTAACTTTCTCCAAAGTTATCCAAATAGTTTTTCCCAAAGTTTTTTCCTTCCAATAAACTAAGTTTTTCCCAAAGTTTTGCCTTTATTATTAGCAAATCAAAGATGGTATTACACCAACTTGTGATGACGAGGCGGAAACAAATGAGCATAGTTTCTTTCACCCTATTGCTCATGTTCACCTAGCAGTAAATATGTAACAGGGAGTTAGACAGCTGCTACGGAGCTGCTTCCTGTGGGTTGTGTGTAAAGCAGGTCTGGTCGAGGACCGGGCCGCGTGACGCTAAGCCCCGAAATCATCTCAAGATGATATGTTGCTCATAGCTGGGTCTTCATTTAATTAAGCGACATTTTCAATGGTGTAAGATCTTTGAAGCGCTCTCTACGACGTTTCGAGCATGTCAGTAAGAGATGTATGTGGGGAACTGCGACGTTTCGAGCAGTAGGGAGAGGGGGGGGGGGGTGTGTGGGGCGTCCGCTCCCCCCTGTATGTCACTGTTAATTCAAGTTGGTGCAATGTTCCTTAGGTTTAACAAGTGCAGCTTTAGGCTGTCAGAGGATGGAAATGTCAGCCGCACTCTGAGACGGTGGGAACCGTTTTGTTTGGTGGTGGTACTGGTGGTGGGTGGTTGGTGGTGGTGGTGGTGGTGGTGGTGGTGGGTGGTTGGTGGTGGTGGTGGTGGTGGTGGTGGTGGTGGTGGTGGTGGTGGTGGGTGGGTGGTGGTGGTGGTGGTGGTGGTGGTGGTGGTGGTGGTGGTGGTGGTGCTTGTGGTGGTGGTGGCGGTTGTGGTACTGGTGGTGGGTGGTTCGTGGTGGTGGTGGTGGTGGTGGTGGTGGTGGTGGTGGTGGTGGTGGTGGTGGTGGTGGTGGTGGTGGTGGTGGTGGTGGTGCTTGTGGTGGTGGTGGCGTTTGTGGTACTGGTGGTGGGTGGTTCGTGGTGGTGGTGGTGGTGGTGGTGGTGGGTGGGTGGTTGGTTGGTTGTGGTGGTGGTGGTGGGTGGTTGGTTGGTTGTGGTGGTGGTGGTGGGTGGGTGGTTGGTGGTGGTGGTGGTGGTGGTGGTGGTGGGTGGTTGGTTGTGGTGGTGGTACTGGTGGTGGTGGGTGGTTCTTGGTGGTGGTACTGGTGGTGGTGGGTGGTTGGTGGTGGTGGTGGGTGGTTGGTGGTGGTGGTACTGGTGGTGGTGGTTGGTTGGTTGTGGTGGTGGTACTGGTGGAGGGTGCTGGTGGTGGTGGTACTGGTGGAGGGTGCTGGTGGTGGTGGTACTGGTGGAGGGTGCTGGTGGTGGTGGTACTGGTGGAGGGTGTTGGTTGTGGTGATGGTCTCCGGTCTAGATGGGGTCCGGAGATCAATGTCCCCGCGGCCCAGTTTCTCATCAGGACTCCAGGATGGTGGTCTGCTCGACCACCAGGCTGTTAGTGGCCGCTGTTTGCAGCCTGACGTGAATAACAGCCTAGTTGATCAGCCCATACAAGGACAAGTGTATGACTCCCGTAGGGCAGTAGTTAACCCCTGTATGTCAGGAGCCTCGAACCACTACCTGGCAACATGCTGGCCAGTGTGTGAAACTCTCACATCAATTATACAAGTGTCCCATTGTTATAATTAGCCTAAGTCTAAGTCATTTATTTACAAATGCATTTTCATACATTTTTTCCTGTAAAATTACACGAATACAAATTTGGTTAGTTACAAAATAGGGACACTAAATTGTTTTGTTTTCTGGAAGCTGTAGATTTGTGTAAGCCAGCAACACTGGTATAAGCCAGCAACACTGATATAAGCCAGCAACACTGGTATAAGCCAGCAACACTGGTATAAGCCAGCAACACTGGTATAAGCCAGCAACACTGGTATAAGCCAGCAACACTGGTATAAGCCAGCAACACTGGTATAAGCCAGCAACACTGGTATAAGCCAGCAACACTGGTATAAGCCAGCAACACTGGTATAAGCCAGCAACACTGGTATAAGCCAGCAACACTGGTATAAGCCAGCAACACTGGTATAAGCCAGCAACACTGGTATAAGCCAGCAACACTGGTATAAGCCAGCAACACTGGTATAAGCCAGCAACACTGGTATAAGCCAGCAACACTGGTATAAGCCAGCAACACTGGTATAAGCCAGCAACACTGGTATAAGCCAGCAACACTGGTATAAGCCACCAACACTGGTATAAGCCACCAACACTGGTATAAGCCACCAACACTGGTATAAGCCACCAACACCAGTACAAGCCAGCAACACCAGCATAAGCCACCAACACCAGTATAAGCCACCAACACCAGTATAAGCCACCAACACAAGCCACCAAGACCAGTACAAGCCAGCAACACTAGCATATGCCACCAACACCAGTATAAGCCACCAACACAAGCCACCAACACCAGTACAAGCCAGCAACACCAGCATAAGCCACCAACACCAGTATAAGCCAGCAACACTAGCATATGCCACCAACACCAGTATAAGCCACCAACACAAGCCACCAACACCAGTACAAGCCAGCAACACCAGCATAAGCCACCAAGACCAGTACAAGCCAGCAACACTAGCATATGCCACCAACACCAGTATAAGCCACCAACACAAGCCACCAACACCAGTACAAGCCAGCAACACCAGCATAAGCCACCAAGACCAGTACAAGCCAGCAACACTAGCATATGCCACCAACACCAGTATAAGCCACCAACACCAGTACAAGCCAGCAACACCAGCATAAGCCACCATCACCAGTATAAGCCACCAACACAAGCCACCAACACAAGCCACCAACACAAGCCACCAACACAAGCCACCAACACCAGTACAAGCCACCAACACCAGCATAAGCCAGCAACACTGGTACAAGCCACCAACACAAGCCACCAACACTGGTATAAGCCACCAACACCAGTACAAGCCACCAACACCAGCATAAGCCAGCAACACTGGTACAAGCCAGGACTAACAGGAGCACCTTGCCTCCCCCACAGAGCGGGAGCAACAAGTCAGGAAGCAGCGGGTACTACATGACCCACTCCTTCCCCCCCGGCACCCCCCAGGCCGCTGGCGCCGGCGTCGCCCCCATCCCCAGGGGGCCACGACCCCCGTACTCCGCAGGTCAGTACTCCTTCCTCACTTTCTACACCTCTCCGGCCCTCGAAAGTGACCTAGTGTAAGGGCCAGACTGATGAAAGTGAGCTAGTGTAAGGGCCAGACTGCTGAAAGTGAGCTAGTGTAAGGACCAGACTGCTGAAAGTGAGGTAGTGTAAGGGCCAGAGTGCTGAAAGTGAGGTAGTGTAAGGGCCAGAGTGCTGAAAGTGAGCTAGTGTAAGGACCAGACTGCTGAAAGTGAGGTAGTGTAAGGGCCAGAGTGCTGAAAGTGAGCTAGTGTAAGGGCCAGAGTGCTGAAAGTGAGCTAGTCTAAGGGCCAGACTACTGAAAGTGAGCTAGTGTAAGGATCAGAGTGCTGAAAGTGAGCTAGTGTAAGGACCGGAGTACTGAAAGTGAGCTAGTGTATGGACCAGAGTACTGAAAGTGAGCTAGTGTATGGACCAGAGTACTGAAAGTGAGCTAGTGTAAGGACAAAACTGCTGAAAGTGAGCTAGTGTAAGAATCAGACTGCTGAAAGTGACTCAGTGTAAGGACCAGACTGCTGAAAGTGAGCTAGTGTAAGGGCCAGACTACTGAAAGTGAGCTAGTGTAAGGGCCAGACTGCCTAAAGTGAGCTAGTGTAAGGGCCAGACTGCTGAAAGTGAGCTAGTGTAAAGGCCAGACTGCTGAAAGTGAGCTAGTGTAAGGACCAGACTGCTGAAAGTGAGCTAGTGTAAAGGCCAGACTGCTGAAAGTGAGCTAGTGTAAGAGCCAGACTGTTGAAAGTCAGGTAGTGTAAGGACCAGACTGCTGAAAGTGAGCTAGTGTAAGGGCCAGACTGCTGAAAGTGAGCTAGTGTAAGGGCCAGACTGCCTAAAGTGAGCTAGTGTAAGGATCAGACTGTTGAAAGTAAGGTAGTGTAAGGATCAGACTGCTGAAAGTGAGCTAGTGTAAGGATCAGACTGTTGAAAGTAAGGTAGTGTAAGGATCAGACTGCTGAAAGTGAGTTAGTGTAAGGATCAGACTGCTGAAAGTGAGCTAGTGTATGGACCAGACTGTTGAAAGTGAGCTAGTGTATGGACCAGACTGTTGAAAATGAGCTAGTGTATGGACCAGACTGTTGAAAGTGAGCTAGTGTATGGACCAGACTGTTGAAAGTGAGCTAGTGTATGGACCAGACTGTTGAAAGTGAGCTAGTGTATGGACCAGACTGTTGAAAGTGAGCTAGAGTATGGACCAGACTACTGAAAGTGACCTAGTGTAAGGGCCAGACTACTGAAAGTGAGCTAGTGTAAGGATCAGACTGCTGAAAGTGAGCTAGTGTATGGACCAGACTGTTGAAAGTGAGCTAGTGTATGGACCAGACTGTTGAAAGTGAGCTAGTGTATGGACCAGACTGTTGAAAGTGAGCTAGTGTATGGACCAGACTATTGAAAGTGAGCTAGTGTATGGACCAGACTGTTGAAAGTGAGCTAGTGTATGGACCAGACTGTTGAAAATGAGCTAGTGTATGGACCAGACTGTTGAAAGTGAGCTAGTGTATGGACCAGACTGTTGAAAGTGAGCTAGTGTATGGACCAGACTGTTGAAAGTGAGCTAGTGTATGGACCAGACTGTTGAAAGTGAGCTAGTGTATGGACCAGACTGTTGAAAGTGAGCTAGAGTATGGGCCAGACTGTTGAAAGTGAGCTAGTGTATGGACCAGACTACTGAAAGTGACCTAGTGTAAGGGCCAGACTACTGAAAGTGACCTAGTGTAAGGGCCAGACTACTGAAAGTGAGCTAGAGTATGGACCAGACTACTGAAAGTGACCTAGTGTAAGGGCCAGACTACTGAAAGTGACCTAGTGTAAGGGCCAGACTACTGAAAGTGACCTAGTGTAAGGGCCAGACTTCTGAAAGTGACCTAGTGTAAGGGCCAGACTACTGAAAGTGACCTAGTGTAAGGGCCAGACTACTGAAAGTGACCTAGTGTAAGGGCCAGACTACTGAAAGTGACCTAGTGTAAGGACCAGACTACTGAAAGTGAGCTAGTGTAAGGGCCAGACTACTGAAAGTGACCTAGTGTAAGGGCCAGACTACTGAAAGTGACCTAGTGTAAGGGCCAGACTACTGAAAGTGACCTAGTGTAAGGGCCAGACTACTGAAAGTGACCTAGTGTAAGGGCCAGACTACTGAAAGTGACCTAGTGTAAGGGCCAGACTACTGAAAGTGACCTAGTGTAAGGGCCAGACTACTGAAAGTGACCTAGTGTAAGGGCCAGACTACTGAAAGTGACCTAGTGTAAGGGCCAGACTACTGAAAGTGACCTAGTGTAAGGGCCAGACTACTGAAAGTGACCTAGTGTAAGGGCCAGACTACTGAAAGTGACCTAGTGTAAGGGCCAGAGTGCTGAAAGTGAGGTAGTGTAAGGGCCAGAGTGCTGAAAGTGAGCTAGTGTAAGGACCAGACTACTGAAAGTGACCTAGAGCTAGAGAGTGACAAAAAGCTGTGGCTGACAATAATGTACTCACTATCTCACTATCTCCCTTATCTGTCTCACCTGTCTGTTGTGGTCTGTTCAATAAAGCTTTGTTGATATTCAATAAAGTCACCAAAATATAAAATAAAGCTTCCTAGATATTCAGTTGAGCTTCCTTGATATTCAATAAAGCTTCTTTGATGTGTAATAAAAAATTACCTTGATATTCAGTAAATCTTTCTTTGTTTTCAGTAAAACTTCCTTGATATGCAATTTTAGTACCTTAGTATTCCATAAACCTACTTTGATATCCAATAAAGCTACCTTGATATGCAATAAAACCACCCCTAGTATTCCATAAACCACCCTTTGTATGCAGTAAAGCTACCTTGATGTATAATAAAGTTACCTTGATATGCAATAAAGCTACCTTGATGTATAATAAAGTTACCTTGATATGCAGTAAAGCTACCTTGATGTATAATAAAGTTACCTTGATATGCAGTAAAGCTACCTTGATGTATAATAAAGTTACCTTGATATGCAGTAAAGCTACCTTGATGTATAATAAAGTTACCTTGATATGCAATAAAGTTACCTTGATATGTAATCAACATATCTTAACCTGCAATAAAATCCCTTCCAAACAAACTTAGTATATATATATATATATATATATATATATATATATATATATATATATATATATATATATATATATATATATATATATATATATATCAGAACAAACTCGGACATTAGCTACATATTTAGTTACATATTATAGTTTTTGTTATGTAAGTTTAAAAAAGAATCGGACACTTTTGAAATTATAGACTTTTATACAGCACCAAGAAAAGGAATATTTGTTGACTTATTGTTCCATTTTTTACTTTTTTTTAAGTCTTGCGAAAGTTTTTCACTGTTTTTGTAAAGTGAATAAAAAGTAATGAATATATAAATATTTGCACTCTCCCGAGATCATTTTTAGAGCGGTTAATATGCATTAATACCGCCATGATATATACCTTGGTTATAGTCTACGACCCAGAGTATAATTTAATCATTAATATTTAAAATAGTTTGGCCCAGCAACGGGGAACTTTCTTCGCCACGTTAAAAAATCTTACTGCGGACCTGCGGGTAAAATAGCGCGCGGGAAGTGTTATGTAAACTTTACCACCAGTCGCGTCATCGGGGATTATCCTCTCCATCTGATCAATGGCAGTTTCAGTCGATATATTTCACAATATATCTATTCCTTAATATCCCTTTGGTTGAGTGTAACTCTGATGCGGGCGCTGACACAATCATTCAATGAGTGGGACACGCGTTCGAAGCCATGGTCCGCGCTCTGACACGGGCCACCACCACCACCTGTTGACCATTGTGCTGGGGCGGGCGGGCCGTGGGCGGGGGGCCGCCGCCCACGCAGGTCGTCACTACATCTGGGCGGTTGTCTCACCACCCGCATCACAATTACGCTAGCCTACGTTTTGGCATTTTATATTAAATTGATGTGAACTGTTCTTTGTTCATTGTTCTCTCACGTGGACCACTTTGGGGGGGGGGCCTCGCTGAGACCACTTTGGGAGCCTCGCTGAGACATTTGCTAGGACTCGCTGGTACGGTGTTGTGTACCACATTGTGGGTGTTGTGTAGGTGTTGGAAGGGAGACCTTGTTAAAGTGCAAGGCTAGGCGGAGTACCTCTACAGGCTAGGCAGAGTCAGACCCTCACAGGCTAGGCTAGGAGTCAGACCCTCACAGGCTAGGCTAGGCGGAGTCAGACCCCCACAGGCTAGGCTAGGTGGAGTCAGACCCCCACAGGCTAGGCTAGGTGGAGTCAGACTCCCCACAGGCTAGGCTAGGCGGAGTCAGACCCCCACAGGCTAGGCTAGGTGGAGTCAGACTCCCCACAGGCTAGGCTAGGTGGAGTCAGACTCCCCACAGGCTAGGCTAGGTGGAGTCAGACTCCCCACAGGCTAGGCTAAATGGAGTCAGACTCCCCACAGGCTAGGCTAGGTGGAGTCAGACTCCCCACAGGCTAGGCTAGGTGGAGTCAGACTCCCCACAGGCTAGGCTAGGCCGGGCCAGGCGGAGTCAGACCCCCGCAGGCTAGGCTAGGTGGAGTCAGACTCCCCACAGGCTAGGCTAGGCCGGGTCAGGCGGAGTCAGACCCGCAGAATAACTTATAATCCAGCAACATTAAACCATTTGCTAGTTTGTCAACGAGCATAACTAACCCGGGCGGCGAACCTGGCATGAATTCACCCACACTGCTAGATGAGAGTAGTTCTAGATGAGTAGTAGTTCTAGATGAGAGTAGTTCTAGATGAGTAGTAGTTCTAGATGTAGTTCTAGTAGTAGTTCTAGATGAGTAGTAGTTCTAGATGAGAGTAGTTAGGGTAACGACCTGGATCACTCGTACAAACGTGTCGTCATGGATCACCAGAAAGTAGAATTTTTTATCATTGAATTTGGACAAACTGAAAAAGTTTTTATATTGTTGGGAGTAATAAAACCCTAACCTAACCATTATAGGTTTAATACATGTTATCCGAGGCC